TTTATAATTCGAAGATGAATGTGTAGAATGAAGTTACCATCACACATGTTCTAAATCATCTTCTTCTCTTCCTCCTTCACCTTTTCTCATTTTCCTGGGTAATTGAGAGTTGGCTGTGCTGAAAAGTCAGATGATTAAGCTTTTTCTAAACTGCCTGCAGGTAACTTTGAAAGCTTTGTTTTTTTTCTTTGTGTCTAGTTTAACTGAAGAGTTTTAATTGAACTGTGAAGTTATCCCGAAATGTTAAAAACACAATTGTTTCTAAAAGCTTTCAATTAAACTGGTTTAGCTACAGAAAGTAAGTAGACTTAGGGATTTCTTTCCTCTGCTGACACTTGGACTTGATTTTTCTGTAATTTTTCTTATCAAGCAGCCAAGAGGATGACTTTTTTGTTTTAAAGCTTGACTGCTCATTGAAAGGAGACAAAATAGGGATGCAACAAAACCAGCAACTAAGGGTGAAGGTCAAATCCTCTGAACCACACCGTTCACATTAGGTTCCACCTGCAGCATGGCCATGAGGCAAGAGCAATCCTTGCGCTGAGCCTTCCAAGAGGTATGCTCTGCATGCCCATCACTCATCCTGCTGCACAGGTCTTTGCTCTGTGCATTCAAGAGACAGCAAGCAGCTTCTGAGTGTTGTTCTGTGAGGGGGAAACTATGTGGCTAAATAGAGATTTCTGATGTGCATGAGGATAGCTAATTTTCTTTCGGCAAGTTGCAAGTATGGTATTTAAAAGCAAGCCAGTAGCATTCCAAACATACTGAACACTTCCCTAAACAAACTGTGGTTTGATACAGGTTGAATACCTGTTTTCCAGCAACAGTGACACAGGACATAGCTGTGCCAGGCATCTTGAGCAACTGGAGAGCCTCAGACTGTCCCGTAAACCCTCCCCCCACCCCCAACATCCTATGTCCTTGCTGCACCAGAACTACCCGAATCTGGTTCTTTCATGTCCTGAGCATATGACCTTCCAAAGAACATTTTTCCATGGGGACCTAGGAGTCCTGCTGTGACAAAATGGGGAAAAAATTGGAAAATTAATCCTGGGAAAATGTTGCATGCTCACAACGGAATCTTGGATCAAGGAATATGAGTTGGCAGCTTCTGAAGGTCTAGAAGATAAATGGCAGAGGTCCCCAAACAGCTTAGCTTAGAAAAAGCTCCTGCCATATGTGAGTGCGTCATCTTTGGAAACGGCTGATTGTGGTTTAAGACCGAGCAGAAGGTCTGGCCTGCGTGGTTTCAGTGGAAGCTGGTGCTTCAGGGAGTTCATGCAGAAGTGAACTACTGCTTGTTGTGCGAGCAGGGCTGGCCATGCAGTGAGGGGAGCTAATGCCGAAACATCGCTGGGAAGGTTGCTTGATGACAAGACATCAAAAAAGGAGAGCGCTGGGGAGAGCTGTAACCTGGGAGCAATGAGTACTTTTTCCCTTGTTCATAGCATTCCCTGAGAGGGTGGGTGGCTATTGACTTTGTGGCCATAAAGGACGGTTTATTTTCTTACCTGTATTTAGTAGGTGTTTTTCACAGTGCATGTTAAAAAGAAAGCAAAAAAAACCCCTCTGTTGACTGATGTACTGTTAACAGAGAAGAATCTCCTCTCCCTTCCTTACAGTATTTATGGGAACTGTTGGCTGTACTAAATATTATCTTTGAAAACATCTCTGTTTAAACTTAATCCTCCCATAACCCTTCAGCCTGGGCTGTGGCATGCAAAGTGGGTCTGAAGTGTCCTCGCTCCGTATACTCATGCTACTGGTGGCTTCTGCCTCATTGCTTCTAGGATCCATTAAGGAACCCAGCCCCTTCCTTAATATCACGTGTAAACAGGGAATCGCTTTGATTCAAGTGAACCCATGAGTTGTTAAGCTATCTCCCTGAGAGTGTGTCTCAGATGTGTGTGCTCTGCAGTGCACTCCAGTTAACTTCTGGAGGTGGAGGCCTGAAGAGTTGTTCCTAAAGCTGCTTCCCCCTGAGCTGTAGGTATAAGGAGTGTGCTAAAACAACAGTCAACTTTCAGAGAATTGAATGTCTGTCTAAACAGCTTCCCAATCACCAGCTCCCCTCTGGGAAGAAAGGATACATTCCTATCTAGCCAGAATCTCTTTCATCTTCTAATTCTGCCAAGGAAAAGTCAAGGCTGGGAACAAGTTTTGTAACTTGGCTGAAGCCCGAGGGAGGATCCTTGCAGGCGGTACCTGTGCCCATTGTCTGCAAACAATTCTGAGGGGTTTATTGATGCTATCTCCCACTAAATGGTTTTGCTGCCTTTGTATCTCCTTCAAATCCCTCACTGAACTAAATCAGCTTAGTGGGTGTTACTGTAGGCATAGAAGCAGCAATTTACTGCATTCCTTGTGGGGCAGCCCCACGCCTCTGACAGACATGATCCCTGATAACCTGGGACTCGAGTGACTTGGTAGCTGAAAAGAGATGGGGAAACCGTGCCTGACTTTAGAAGGAGAGGAACGGTGCTGTGCTTTGGAGCAATCTGTTAGTGACTTGAGAATAAGCAATAATTGATTCCCCCAGAAGGTGTTCTTGTTTCAGGTATCTCTAACTTGGTGGTGGTTCAGAGACGAGAATTGGACTGCTAGCTTCACGGTGCAATCTTTGGGAGAGGAAAATGCCTCTGGGGCAAGGTAGCACACCTCAGGCGGCTCAGCAAATTCTGTGATAATTGCATGCCCTCTTCCCTACCTCTCCTGGCCGCTGATACGTCACTGGGCAGGGAAGGCCACCTTTAGATACTGTGGCAAGAGTTGCAGAGTTTGTTATACTAATGAGGCTTCATTAAATTGGAATGGGGAGGACAGACCTGTCTTGATCTAATCAGAAGGGCCACTTGCTGAAGATGCTGCATTGATTTGTCAGAGCTGTAATTCAGTGTAAAGTAGTGACTCTTAGAAGAAAGCAGCCAGCTGTTGGCCTGGAGTGTAGGCCAGATGCTGGCCTCTTCCAATTGAATATGAACTTCATGAAATCCATGCAGGAGATCTGACTTGAGAGGAGGGAGCACATGTACAGACTAGCTGGCTTGGCTTTCCTTGCAGAGGAGTATTTTTTCACTCTGTGGTCTTAATTCTTGCTGGAGGAATTCTAGCAGGTGAGTGGCAGCATCCTTACTCCTTTCTGCATGGTAGGAGTTTGGTGAACAAAGCATTGGCTCCTCGTCTGTGTAAGACAAGAAATCTATAGGCTGTGCTACAGGCATAGAATGGCATAGTTTCACTTCTCTCCCTCCCCCTCCAAATCAAGCAAGAAACAAAATGGGCAGACACAGAGTTTATTGTAGCATCAGCTCCAGACTTGCCACATGGCAGTTTAAATGTCATCTTGAAATGACATTTCAAGGCGGGGGTGTATGCAGACAAAGAGTTCTTCTTTGATAGAGACTAATTGACTTGAAAGATCCACATTTTGAAGGTAATCCTTTTGTGAAGTAAATATGAGCAAAGTAGTGACATGGAACCAAGGAAACCCTCTTTTCGACAGGATGACTTCCAGGTTTTATGACAAATCTGTATAGTTCCTCCCATAGTACAGCTTTTTTTTTTTGGCTGAGTAATTGGAAATGTGAATTGTGGCTGTTCGAGTCATATGTTTCTCTGGTCAGTGCTGGCACATTGACTTCATCTCAGAAGTATGTAAGGATCTGAAAGACGTACTGCCTTCCCTAGTAGTAGGAGCACTAACCCAGCTCTCCCATCTGTTCTCACAGGGTACAAAAGAGTGTGATACCCGCCTCTGCACCTCTCAAATTTGTTTGGAGTTATCCAGAAGTTTTGAATTTCTATGGGGAAACTTGGCCAAAAAAGAAAAAAAGAAAAAATATCCCCCTTCAGTATGAATATCCATTTAACTGAAGAAGCTGTGGCTGAATAGGGTTTCCCTCAAGATTAAAGGTATTCCTTGTGGTCAAGTGTAAAGAAACATTTGTGCAAAATTTTTTTTTTCCCTGAGAGCTTTAGATGTTTATGTAAGGAATAGCATGATAGAAGTGTTGAAATGTGTCTCTGTGTGTTTTTTTGGTTTTGGTTTTCTTTTTTTAACTCCATCACTCACCTGGTTATCTTCATCCCAGTTTTCCCCTTCCTCCTTTGTAAAACCAGTACGCACAGATTTTTAGTCCCAACTTTCTTTCATGAACATTGGAGTTATGCATGACATTGTTATTCATCCAGCTCCAAAGTTAGTGCTGGAGGTCTTGCAGGCTGAAACCACACTAGGTTGGTGGGACATGTATTCTGCTGGGTCTTTTTCCTTCATTAAAAATAGGGGTTCAACTCTGCTCTTGATTTCCCAACTGCACTTTGTGTGTTTATAAGTCTGTTTTTGCTGTGACAGTGCCTGATAGGCTATGGCTGAATCCCTCAGTCCACAGGTATGATCGGTGTCACATCCTGCAATTTTAATTGCTATGCTTCTGTACTGTCAGAACATTATACCTGAGGTTTGCAAGCTGTTTTACATTCCTCCTCATAAGCGTGTGTTTGCCTGCCTGCTGGCTGGCTGTCAGGTTTGCTGTGCCTCTCCAGGTGGCTGAAGAAGCATTTGATTTATTTATCCTAGCTGTCTTGTACAGCCTGCTGTGTCTTGGAGACCTTCTGAAAAGTGGTGGGGGTGTAGGAAGGCTGGTTCTCTTGAAGTTATTTTGAAATTGATTCTCCAGATGCTCTATCCTCTGGGGTTGTCTTGAAAGGAAAAGCTAAAATTAATTGTAAGCTAGGCAGTCTTCACACCTGAAATATTAGAGGGTGAGTGAAAAGTTCTGGTCTCTCTATAATGCAGCTCCTTTTACTATTTCCTATGGGGAAGGTTGCCTTTTCTGCTCCTGTTACCTTGTGAACTGTGAATACTTGGTAAGATTCCTAAATGCTAGAACATGCAAAAGGTTGCTCTTTATTTCTGAATTTCCCCTTTCCCTCCCCTCCCCAGATGTAGGTGTTTGGCTCAATGCTTACTGTTTCTTTCTTTGTCTTTGTTTTTGTAGACCAAGGTGCTCCTGATCAACCAGATCTTCTGGGATTTTTTTAAAAAGAAACTCCAGTGGGTAAAAGATGTGCCATGGAATGGTAGCACCAAAGAGCAACACAGGATCGTCTCTTGCCTTGACTAGCCATGGGTTATTTCTTCTGCTAGTTATCTTTGGTACCTTTATCTTGGAAGCACAGGCCACAGGTAAGTGAAACCTTTGCATGTGCTGCAGGGAGGGGGAGATGTATAAGTGTGGAGGTGGCCGTATATTTCTATAGAGAAGCTGGTGATGGCTGATGCATTTGTACACATCTTGCAGTACTGACATGAAAAATTCCATTGTTGCATGTTGAGCAGAGGGCAGTGTCTGAACTGAATGAGTTTTGCATATTAAATAAGTGCTTGCCCTTTACCCTGTCATTTTGATTCCCCCAGCTTTTTCCCCCTCCATTCTTATCCCTTCACTGCAGCTGGGGGCACTTGGACTGTCTCATGACCGTGCTCCACTGAGCATGGACCACTTTTGGTTGAGTGAGATTTTCATGGAGACACTCTTATCTGTATGCCCTGTAGCAACTGCTTGTGTGAAGTAGTTTTGGAAGCAGAGACTGTCTTCAGCTCTTTGCACAGCTGATGAATCTGTTTAGTGTTTCCTTGTGTACTATCTTCTGACACCTCAGCACCCACTAACTGCACCCCTCTATTAGATCCTCTTTGCAGCTTGAGTTTTTCCCTCTCCCCTTTTTTAACCTCTTTTGTTTATCTGATGGATGAATGTTGTGAATAATGTAAATAGTAGTGCAATGGGATGATATATAAAATGTCAGCAGAGATGAGGGGATCTGCCTTTTAGAAATGAGTGGAAGAAGAAAATATACCGGATACTCACAAAGCAGTACATAATGTGAAGTACGTGCTTGTTTACCCAGTATACCCTGGAATATGTCTTTTATCTCAGACCAGCCGTGATGTAGTTTTTGTCTGTAGACAGATGCCTGATCATAAATGGCATGGGATGGAAGGAATAACTTTGTGTGCTGCACAGAACTTTGAAGGAGGTTAGTCCCCAAAAGACATGTAGATTTGACTTCAGCAGCTGTTGCAATGTAGAACAATAGCTTGCCTTTGGAAACAAAACCTCGGTTCTCGACATAACTCTAGAAAGTCCTATTTATTTGACATACCATGGCACCTGAAAATGTCCCATGACCAACACTCCTTAGCATCAGTGAAGCTTGAATTGGGCTCTGTGCAGTAGATCAGAACAAATAGTAAGTCAGTTGCCAGATGCACTCAAAGCTGAGGTGATCCTGTATGGAAAAGTTGGCTGGTGCTGGAAACTGCTGGAGCAGTTGTTGATCTCCTTTTAGTATTTCTGGCTCTTCAGGTTGGAAGGGAGAGGCTGCCGAAATCAGATATCCCAGGCTTGTATGTCTTCCTGGCCTGATTTTGGCTTTGCAGGTAATGAGGGGTGGGGGGACACACAAGTGACAAATTGGCAAGAACAGATAGTGAGAGTGGGAAAGGGACAAGGTCTTGTTGTATCTGGTCTATCCTTGTTTTTTCCAGTTTTGCTGTTACTGGTGATAATGTCACTGCCTCATTTCAGATGTAGGCCTGTCAGATACGCTTCCCAGCCTGGGGCTGGAGTGCACCATCCCCATCTGAAACTCCCATTACACACTGCAGCACCTTCAGTTGAGTCTGTAATTAGTATGCAGATGCATTATTCTGCACGGGGCTGCTGGATGGGGGAGAGGCAGCCACAATACTGGCAAGCCTTTTTAGTATAATTTTTGAGGCATCCAGTCATGTTAACAAAAGCACCAGTTAAGCATGTCAGAAGACCCGAGAGTGGTTCTGCATTGTTTCCCTTTCTGTGTTCCTTTTGCTTCAGGACCTGAAACCAGCTGTGGTAAACTGATCAAGGCAGATCATCAGCTAAATAGGATTATAGTGGCTAGGCATGAGCCATTTCCTGCAGGGGAAGTGAGAAAGTGAGTGCATGTGGAGGGGAGCCCAAGAGCATAGCATCCAAGTGCAGGTTTTCTGGGACTGGGAGGTAGCAACCCAACTGCCGATTGCTGGGAGGGATGGGGGTGCCCAGCGATGCGTCACGGTCCCAGAGAGCTGCACCTGCAGCAGCACGCCAGCCATGAGTAACGTTAATGAGCAAGTCAGCCGGGGAGCGGAGAGCCAGATGGAGAAACAAAGAATACTGGCGAGGCGCTTGGAAAATCATCTTTCCCTCATCTTTGTCCCCCAACCACCCCACTGTCCTCGCTTTATTACTTTACATAGCAAAATCATTCAGAGCAGGCAGAGCAAAGTGATGTAAACATGAAGCAAAGAGATTGTATTAAATCTCTTGGTGGTAATGCTTATCTTGAACGCGGGGCCAACGTCGCATGCTCACAATTGCTACAAAAGCTGAAGAATGTTCTCATAAAAAGACGGACAAGCATGGAGACAATGGGCTGGCTCGGCTCTGAGTGAGAAAGCAGAGCTTGTGCTTCGTATGTTTAAAACTGTATGATGTATATTGTACTGCAATATTTTTGCTGTTTAGAAATTCTATTGCTTGAGTTCCAGGAGGCTTAGAGAGATATTCATGTTCTGGGCAGGAATGTGTTCTCTTTGCCACGTGGTTAATGCAGAAGACAGACTCATTTCCAGTCAGCAAGCATCTGGTCTGTCCTCTGGTAATAAATTGATTTTATTTATGCATGGATTTTTAACAAAAATCTTCAGCACTTTGTCTCAAGCAATCTATCCAAATATCCTGGGGTGACAGGAGATGAGTATGGTAAGTTGCTTAGTCACTAAGCACGCTGCAGAATTTGGGGAAACTGCTCCCTTTTCATGGGAAGATATCCATGAATATAAAAATAACCACTGCACGTATTTTAACAAAAGCAAATGCAGCATTTGGTGATGGGCAAGCAATGAAGCTACGTCAGAAGAGGAGGATTTATGGAAACTTCAGTGCTGTTCAGAAATATTTTTTGAGCTTTATCACTCGTGCCTTTTTTCTCTGTCTGGCAAGTTCTCCAAGGTTAGTTGGGGGAAATAACGAAGGAATGAGCAAGTGAGGACACTTGGAAAGCAAGGACCTGGAGTATTGAGGCTTAGTTCTTCCTCTGTCTCTTCTGTTTTTGTTGAGTGTTCATCTGGAATGTAGCTAAGAGCTGGAGTGCTTAATAGATAGAGATGGGGAATTTTTGAGGTGTAAGAGGAGCAATAACAACCATTTTTTTCTGCTTTTCTACAGATAACCCTTCATTGTTCCTTTGTTGCTGTCATTTCCTCCCCCCCCCTCCCGCCCCCATCTCTGGCCCTTAAGGTTATTCCCAAGCTCTCAAAGGCCTTGTGTTTATATCTCATTCACAGTGCTCCTCCTGTCTAGCCAGGCTATCTTTGGAAGGATGACAGTGGATCAGAATAAGTTGTTCATGAAATTTTAACGTGTAGTAACTAAAATACTCTGAAAGCTTCCTGTCATTTGTGTTCCAAATGGTGTAATCTCTTTTGGATTCGTAATTAGCTCTGTCAGAAACCTATCAAAACATAGGTTGGGCCTTTCATTATTGATAATAGCATCACCTGCTCCTGGGAAATGCAACTAAAGGTGTTGGTAAAGTATTAAACATCCTCAACTAAACAAATATCAATACCCATAAAGGAGAGAGTATAAATACTAACCTTTAAAAATTAATAATAATGCAGGCTCGGTGAATCTAAGTCCATTTAGATTTAGACACTGATTTTTGTTGACTGATCACATGTGAAATGCTATAAAGCTAGCTCTTTAATTTTTAGGATTGCCATTAAAGTGATAAATTGAGCTTGAATAAACTGAAACGACTTCATTCCTGTGTGTTGTCTCCAATGCAAATGCAGCCAATCTGCTGCTTGCTGTCCTAAGGTCTTTTTGGTGCCAAGGTTATTCTGCACAGAAGCTCTTGGATACCGCTAGTATTTGTTTGCATTGCACAGAACAGCTTGTTAGAGCGCACTCCAGTCATTGAGCAGATTCAGACTTGTTCGTATTCTTTTGGAATCTGTGCAAAGCAGAAGTTTCCTTTGTCTCTAATCATGCAGCTGAAAGGAAGGCGTTCATACAGCTAGGGATGAATTCAGTGGTTGTGAAAACAAGGACACTGTAAGATCGGATGGCCAGACAGAAATGTGGTGAGGTGTCATGCATGAACAGAGGATCTTGATTCTAACCCGCATGCTGCATGTAAGTGTGGGTTTGGAGAAATTACAGGGTTAGCCCAAAGAAGCGTATAGTTCTCCATGGAGAGAAGGAGGAGCAGTTTGGGGTGCAATTCCTCTTTCCAGTCCCTTCAGAGAGCTTAGTAAGAGCAGAGTGGTATGGAAGAGCACGGTGAGGAGCTGCAGAATAATGGCCAGACAGCAAAGGTGGCTAGGAAGTAAACACAGATGGGTCCAGAATTAGGCTATTCAAATAATAATATCCACACTGTTACTACGCTGATCCAGGCAGTGCTACTTAAGCAACTGGCTTGAAGGGAGTAATAAGGATCTCAAGAAGCCATGCAACTCGTTTCATTTTAACCAGTTGTAACAGCTGAAGGATAAATTAAAACAAGCATAATAGTAATCCTGAATTTTCCTTTTGTCTGTCCTAGGTTGGCTCAGCAAATCCGAAGGACCTGCATGTGAGTACTACTTTTGTTCACTGCTGTACTATGACAACTGAGTGTGATGTTTTACTGGTTAATCTAAGTGGCTATGAGCTAAGATTCCCATTATACTTCTGTTGTGTTGGATAGGCTGAGATCCATCTCTATGCCCCATTTCCATTTTTGTCCCTTGTATTTGGGAAAGATGACTGCCCTCAGTTTGAGAGAGGGGGATCAGCTTCATATGTTTCACTGTGCTTGAAGGGATCCCTGTGCCTTCCATAGCATTTAACTTTGAATGACTCAAGAAAAAAACAAATAGAATAAATATTTTATTAAAACTCAGAGAGGGATGCAGCTCATGAGAGTTTTGAGAGGCTGATGGAGAGGACTGAGAGGACAGGGAAGGCAAGCAGAAGCAAACCCCCTTTTGTTTCCTTTAATCAAGAAGGGTGAACATCTCATCACAGAGCATGACTCTGGATATATTCCATTGGATACTCCTACTTTTAATTTCCTGTGCTCAGAAAAAGTCTAAAACTGTGCATGTTACGGATGTATGTAACTTTGTGAGGAATCAGGAGGCACATTGGCTTCTGTATCTGTTCTAAATATATAAAATTTTGTGTAAATCTCTGTTGAACTCTGAAATTTGATCTGCTTAGTCTGAACTTCCCCTCTCCTCCAAAAAAAATGGAATACAGGAACAGAATCTGAGGGTAGTGGATCCATAATGGGGAATTTTACCACCTAACAAATTCTGGTCTTCAGAGAGTGGGAGATGGGAGAAGAGCTGATGGAATCTTCTGAATCCCAAATTTTTATCCAACGCCTGAATTTTACGCCTGGCAAGACTGGCATCACACACTTAAGGGGCTTTCAATTCTTGGCCGTGGTTGTTAGCAGGAAAATAAGCTGCTTTAGGAAATAAGAGTTGTCTGGTCCAACTCGCCGTGGCTTCTTGGGTTAGAACTGGTAGGAGCTTCATTGTAGAGGGAGCGGGAGGGGCGCTGAATGCATGGTTTGTTCTTCAAGAGAAAGTATTTGTGAACTTCAACCCAGGTTCTGACTTGTCACCATCTTGGTGTCCCTTGATGACTGCAGCCCACTGGGTCGAAAATAGAGGCTTGTCTATCTTCTTATGTGGGTTCCTTCTATCACTGCATCCTTTATCTACTTGAGCCAGTCATTTGGGCAGACTTTGGGTTTGTTCCTAGTCTTATGGGAAAAGTTCTGACAGTGGGACAGAAAAAAGTTTGCTTGCTACCACCTTGTGATTTGACAACTCCTGTTCTGTCCCTTTTGAGTCCTAAACTGGCTACCATTGCAGCTGAGGCATTACGTTTTTTGGATAAGTTGAACGTTTTTAGTCTGTGCAACCTATGTCTGCTATTGCTTCTCCAGCCCTTAAGTTTGACTGTAGCAGCACAAGCAGTTACCACCTCCTGTTTATGCTGCCAGCTATTACTGACTCTGCAGCAGGGATGGCAGAACAAGAAGTAAATCTGCTCTGCAACTGTGGCAAACGCCAGCCTGGGCTGTTACTGCAAATACTGTTGGAATAGCTGGTATGTAAAGCTGTGGAGGAGATGTGTTCTCAGCACGCTTACATGGGTGATAAGGGGGAAACAAGTGATAGGGCAAGGTGAGTAGCTGTATACCGTCAAGTCTTCAGCTTTTGTGGCTGAATCTGTCAAGGCTGTTCGTTAAATCCAGCAATCTGTGTCTAGATGAGGATTGCTAAAACACTGCTGGTAACAAGCTGCTGATAGTCAAGAGTGAAGGTAGGGCACGGAAGGCACTTGAACAGCAAGCTCAAAAATGCTTGTACGTTGAGAGAGCAACTGGAACCCAGTGACAGGATTATGGCGTTGTCTCAAAAGGTTGTACCTGCTTATCTGTGTGCACTGATCTGCATCTGAAAAAAACACTTTCCTTTTAATGAATGAAACCTCTGGGGAGTGTTAATCTTCTTCTGCAAGCAGGAATTTCCCTGAGGCTCTGCTTCTGAAAAATGTTGTATTGGATTTGAAGGACTGGCAAATTGCTTGCTTCCAGGTGTTGTTGAAGGGATTTGAAATAACCTCTTAGGTATGGGGCTGCTTAGATGAGTTATAGGATGTGCTAGGTAGATTGGGCTAGAGGGGGCTTGTTGCTAAACTCTTGAAGAATAAAATGAGCCTTTTTGTCCCAGCCTAGTACAGTGATCCTTTTATTATGGAAGGGGGAGGGGAACTTCCGGAGTTCCTGTGCTGAGAATACTGCCTAATCTCAAGAGGTGGTAGGGATGCTCCCTCACTGCTTGGGTACCTTGGCCTGGCTGGTGCTGAATGGAGATGCCTCCTGCGTTCCTTCTCTGTAGGGCCAATGCCATGAATGCAAGGATACGTGCATTTATCCACTTGGCATGGTAAGAAGAATTTCAGGGGAAGCAGAAGCCAAAGAATTGAACAGTAGGGTAATAAAAGAGCATCTTTAAATCCTGCGAGCTCAGCATTTTAGGTCTAGCCAGTATTCTTATTTCAATGGGGACAATCTTTATTGTCTGAGAGCAGAAAGAAACATTGCTGCTGCTTTTGAGATACATCTTTTACTTTGTCAGTAAAGGGAGAAACAGGTATGATTTGAAAAATGTTGCCTTGCTGTAGAGTGAGATAAGCACCTCTGGTGGATGTTGTCTTGAGTTTTCAACCCACAGACAGGGAAGAAACATGGTAGGCCTGATAGATAACTAGAAAGCCAGAGGCGGCTGCTGCTGCTTTTCTGGTTTGAAGGAACATTTTCTGTGTCCTGAGAAAAAGACCAACTGGTATATAACAAGTTTCTTGTCAGACATACCCTTAGGCACCCATAAAACTGCATCAGAAAGACAATAAAACTGTTTTGTGATCTTACCAATTTTGTTGTTTAGGCAACTTTGCATTTTCTTCTGCTGCTTTTTCATGAGATGTCAGCTGCTGAGACAAGGTGAAGTTTTTCTTGTTTAGGTAGAACTAGAATATTTTGAAGGAAGTGGAGCTATCTGGAGACTCTTCAGGCATAGGAAAGAACTAGAAGTGAATGGAGATTTGTAGGAAGGTGGTAGAATAGCTTGAAGGTGAATGAGGATCAGGGGAGAATAAGTTTCTAGGAAGGAGAGGAGGGGGATGGAGGAGTGTAGCAAAACAGGAAGGTGAAGGTTTCCACAAGTGGAGTTGTGAAAAAGATCTTGGTGGTTTAAAAAGCCAATTAGTGGCTTGGTGGTTAAGTAGTGTAAGTCCTGAAAGAAGGTAGTGTTTTAGTTACGCAAGCAGATTAGAATGGTTGAGAATAGTATGGCCTTGGCAGGGAAGACTCTAGTAGAAATATATATATGTGTGTGTTTGTTTTTTTTAAAGGTTAGGTAAGAGTGTCTTAATGCAGGAGGATGCAGGATATGCCTTTACAACATCAGGCTTTTGAGGCTTTTCTATATGCAACAAGACTGACTAATGAGACATTGCCAGCGAGTTTAGGAACTGGAGGGTTACAAAGTGTGCGTGCCCTTCAGGGACTGAAGCTTCAAGGCAGGAATCTGCTCAAGGCAGGAGCAGAGCAGGGTGTGAAGATGCCAGTTACTGGAATGCTGGCTGTGTCTGCCTACAAGTGCTCTCACATCATGGCTGGGGATCTGGGGTAGGAGAGAAATTGCAAAAGACCATATAGCAACTGTGTGTGAAACAAGACGTAGGGAGGAATTTAAAGTGGAAGTCGCTGCCATGTTTAGAGAAATACCCCTGACTTTCTCAGAAAGTTCTGCTTTTCTTAGTTTTTGTTCAGTTTTATAGTTAAAAGCTGCTTTGCTCTTTTCCCCCCCTCCTGCATTTGTTTGGCTGCTGCGCCCACTGTAGAGGAACCCTTCGTGTAAACAAGATAAACCTATTAAAGCTGCTATACCCTGGATCCTTGTCAACACCAAGGTATCACTCCCTGCTGATAGTGATGCTTTCCAGGGGGGGTCTGTGTGTCCCTGTATGTGTGGAATGAAGTTATATCAGAGTGGGTTAGGGACTTCTGGTGCTGCCTCTCTGTTCTGGAACACCAGCATCCTGGAGATTTATCTCCAGGAGACTTACCTGATGCTGCAGAGGCCTTTAGGAACATGCTTCTCATGTGTTCTACAAAAACACATGTATTGGTTTATCCCTGACTGAGAGGGGAGAAGCATGGGTTTTTAAAGTTGTTTCCTCTGGCCCATTCCACGCCTACCTTCAGGGCAGCTAACTTTGAAACTCGGAGTCTGGCGATGTGCCTGTCTCCCGTAGTTCAAGTTTTAGGCCCACTGACGTGCTTGTTGAAAAGGACCGGGACTGTCAAAGAGTTGTGCTGAGCCCCGCGTTATGCCTCAGCACATCTTCACTTCTCTTCAGCACAGGCAAAGGGCCGTAGCTGTAATGCTCTGTATTCTCCTAAAGCTAGTACTTCATTCTGCTGCTGCTTTTGCTTTCCCTAGTAAAAGTAACCTTTGAATGCTCTGGAGAACAACCTTCAGGTTTCATTGTAAACACTTTCTTGGGCATAATTGGCTTAGATTATAAGATACTAAGAAAAGATAGGGGCTTTATCATTTGACTGATAGTTTTTCAGTTTAGGTTCAACTGTCACTTTTCTCTCAACTGAGGAAATTATTCATTCTTAATATGTAAGCTGAAAAATCTGAACATAGTCACAAGCAGCAATGAGTTTGCCTTCGAGCGCATGTCTTGGTGAAATCCATGAAGACAGCAAGTTTGTTTTTCCAATTGTATTCTTTTGGTCCTCTGCTGCTTTGTCTTTCCCAACAAGCTAGTCTTGTTGCAAATGTTACTGACAGTAGCCCAAAGCAGAGATGAGTCTTGCTGTGATGTAGGAATGTGATGTCCCGGAGCTAGCATAATTTCAACCTTAGGGCTTTCCCACTTTGAATCAGTTTATTTGCATTTACTTCTCAAATACTTAAATGCTATCTTTAAGTTGACAGTTTGTGCTTTGATGGTGACTGTTTCCTCCATGGCATTCAGTAAGCTAGACTCCACTTT